ATCCATATTTCTTTTGTGCTATATATGCCATGCCAGGCATAGTGAAATCTTTTGTCATACAGATTAAAAGATGGAACTGGAGAAGAATGGAGATAAAGGCTACACAGAAATCCGAAGACCACAAAACTGTGTCCTATTTTCTTGGTTTTCATGGCTCCTGCATGCCACTCCTCTTGCTCATCTGCCCTAGTCTTGCTTCCAAGACCTCATCAGTTCTACTTCCTAAGCTACCAAGCTGTCCTCTATACTCTTCCTTTTAACATGTGAAACAGAAAGAGTTGGTCTGTCTAAAAGGAGGCTTTGATTCTCTTGAAAAGAAGTTCTCACTGCTATATTTTGTATCATCTGGTGGTCCTCAAATAGTAGGTTTACAAATTGCTTTCAATACACGCCAGTGCTTCACTCCAACAATTTCTGCATGCACACAACAGGAAGCTGACAGTTCAACCATCAGCACAGCAAAAGCAGTGGGATACACCCCACCATAAAAATAAAAGCATGTCCTACAAGAACACTGAAATCCAAGTACCTTAATCGCAGCTGAGCACTGATCTGCATGCTTGAGAAGCTCTTCAACTTTGTCTCGCTTCCCACAGATTTCACTGTGCAAGTTCTGTCAAGAAAAAAAGCAAGCTGTGAATCATGGCATCAAATTTGACAGCATTTCCTCCTGCACATACTGTTTCCATCAGAAGGTGTCTGCTGAGTGAGACCATTGCAACCCCAGAGGCCAAGACCTGAAAGGGCCTGTCTCTGTGCAGTCTTTAAAAAAGGCACACTGTCTGTGTATGAGATTTTTGTGAGTAAGAATTGCCTAGCAACTGAACAACCACCAGAGCTGGGGCACAACAGTTACTTGACTTTACCTTAGATTTACCCTCTTATTTTTATTCTTGTGCTGTGATTTGTCCCATAAATTACATCATGCAGTTCCTTTCACTGCTTCAAAGATGATGTTTAAAAGCACCAGTCACAGAGTGAGAGCTAAGCGGGGAGTGAGAGCTAAGAGTGAGAGCTAGCGGAGCTAAGGCCATCACCTGTACCAGTATATCCAGAAAATAATGAGGACAATACTTCCTTTCTCCTGCCTCCTACACATGCAGTGTTTTTTTGTGTAGCTTGTGTATTTTATAATTCTAACCAGCACACTATTGCAGACTGCACTGATATGGGTATTTTCGGAATATTAAAGCAATTTAAAATCCAATTAATCGAGGACAACTTTCAGCTGTTGTATACCTTCTGTTCATGCAGATATCTCATGACGGTGTTGCAGTCACCCAGTTTCATGGACTCAATGGAATCCTGCCTGCGCCTGGCATCACAGACCCATTTGCTCAGAGCCTGGTATAGATCTCTGTACGTTTTCAGCTGTTTGATCTGCCTTTCCAAATCCCAGGATCTAGAAAAATTAGGAATAAGCATAAGCTTAAACAAGGAAAAAAAAAACCCTTAAAACTTTAATTACATGAAACACTACATCTTCTTGGTCAGTCTTACACACTTCATCTGAAGCTTGTTCAGTCTATTTGCAGTTGCTACCTACAGTTAACTCTGAACCATCACTTTTAGGTGACTGGCTACGTTATAGTGATGCTATTCTTTTAGATCAACTATTCGGCAGTCTCTGTAGCAATAGCAATAAGGAAAAAGCTATCAGCAAATTCATACTAACCTGTTATCTATCTGTTTCTCAGCTCTCTGCCAGCGATCTATTAGTTGGGTAACTTTATCAGAAAACTTTCCAATGTCCATATCATACAGGGCATATGACTGGCAAGACTGTGCATGGATCTGATGCGTTTTCTGTAGTTCATTTTCCAGGGCATTCAACAGTGACTTTTTCATGTTTAGGTCTGCTTTCATTTTCTGAAGGAAAACCAAATGATATCATATATTTTATTCTTCAGAGGGTATTGAAATTTCACCATCAACAGAATGTCCAATGTGTTAGGATGTAACCATTTGCTTTCTATTTCAGTGAAGTATGTACGCTGATATCAACCGGATTTAAATATACATGATGGATTTAAATATGCATGAAGTGAAGCATATACTGCAGAAACAGACACACACTTAAGAATGTATTTAACGTCAGACTTATTTCTAAGTAATCTGCCAAACTAAAGCTCTTTGCTCTCATATTCTGTAGATAATATTTCAGTTTCTCAGACTTATGAACATTAGTTTTTTAAAAAATAGGCTAGAAGATGTTCTTGAAGTTGAAAACTTTCCTCCAACAGCTGTAGGACCAAGCCTCAGGTTTGTTATATTAAGCTTTTAATTTTATCTAAAATATGATCCTGATTACTTGGGAGGTTTGTTTGCAATTTGATAAGCATCTTCCAGAGAGATGTTACTCTGCACACGTACATACTCGTGCGTGTTCACATGGGCATATACACACATGCTGTGGGCTACTGCAAAATGCACACAGGGCAGACAGAGCTCTCACTTGCATTCCCTGTCCTGTGACAACATGCTCAAGTGCTCTTTGTCTTGCTCAAACTTACACCAGCTAAAGCAATTTCCAAGAACCGAAACTACAGCTCTCACTTAACATGATAAAAAGATAACCTGGTTGTTGTCCATTTGTGCCATCTGCACACCTCTTCCCTATTACATCTGAGAGTAGGAAAGAATTAAGATCATCTATGGCACCAAAGGCACTTAGTGCACAAAATGACCTGCTCAATGTCAGATAAAGAATATCTCAGAAGAGGACATGCAATATAGGAAGAGGACACACAATAACATTATAATTTACTTGTTACAACCACATGACATTACAAGTAATCAATAAGCTTTTTTTTTCAGATATTACCTTCAAATCTAGCTTTGTAAGTGATATAATAATTTTGCATTAACCTTATGGAGAGCTTTCACCTTCTACTCCGCTAGCTTTGCTGTGGGGGCAGCAACAACCAGGGTATGGAAGAATAGAAAACCTCTACATTCCTCCTAATAACCTGCAAAGCAATTATACTTCTATGTTATAAAATACAACAGCATCAGCACTTCAACTCCTGTGATTTTGCAGGGGTTCAACCTAACTCAGTAGACCAGGAACAGCAGGTAGGAATTTTGTCCTTGGGAAATGGCCTCTCACCTTCAGACATGCCCGATAAGCCTCCACTTTGTCCAGATCCAAAGGAACAGTCTCCTCCTCAGACAGTCTGACTTCAAAAACTCTGATCACATCTTCTGTTTGCAGAATGACCTGGAGCAGACACCTCAGTGCATCCAAGCTACAATAAATAATGCAATAGAAGACAAATCCATTAAGAACTGAGGCAGGAAATGTGCTGCTTATAATCCACTGTGGATCATGAAAAAGAATAGAGAAGACAAAA